TGTCAGGATCAACTGCAGAAGTGGGAGCTGCAGCGCTAGTAGAAGAAGCCAGTGCGAAAGTATGCATTCATGACGTTGATTGCGACTTTCTAGTTAAATGTAATCCGGGTGGCCTCAAACTTTGCCGTGATGGCAAATGCGTTTGCATTCCCAAGTCAGCCGTGGCAGTAGAAGAAGGCGAGCCCCAATGCAGACATTACAGGGATTGCGAGTACAGGATTGATTGCAAACCAGGCAAATTGAAGAGTTGCTTTGTTGGCGAATGTGTTTGCGTTACGGATAATAGGGGAAGTCCCCCCACCCATCGATGAGTTGGTGGTACCCCCCATCAACCTCCTAAATATGAGTACCTTATATACTTATTTTCGGATTTAGCCCAATAAAAAGATGTCATGTGTTTTTTTGTTTATAAACCCAATTTTTTGTTACTGTAAACTCTGTTACGAAACAAGGGGATGTATTAACATTTAAATCTTTTAACTGAGCAAAAATCCATTTTAGAGCATGTCCAATCGATAAGTGTAAAGTTAAGATATAAAAATTACATTTACATTATCTGAGATGTAAATGTGGGTTTTGCTTCAACTATGGAGATAAATTCAAATTTCATCTCACTTCCTCTTAACTCATGTGGATATTGCTTTCTTTTCTCTCTTGTAGATCCCCAAATAATGAGATAATTAGACTTAAGACAACAAATGTGATACATTATTAGGATTAGAGCAAGGTATTTTTTTTAATTAGGTCCATTGACCATATTTCCAACTCGGCTTCTTTTCATTTCAAGTTGATGAGTCAACCTATGACACACTCCGACTCGAATTTCAGTGGGCATCGAAATTGAGGAATGTTGGCCATCACTCGGATGGGTGATAAAGCCATGATATGCATGAAGTCACAACAAAAGTTGTCAAATATTAAAATCTACTAAAAATTCAACAGAACTTCCCCTAAGTATGGATAAATCCAAATTAAATCACTTGGAAGGAACCACATTTAATTTAACTCATCCCCGAAGGGCCACACCAATGGGTCTCAACCCCACACCAATCGTTGTAAAAAGAGTGACTAATAAGAAGTAGAAAATTCTAGGCCTACTACTCATCTATTGTTGAAATGACTTCAAAAGAGGTATCATCACTGATGACACGTCTGATTGGCTCTAGTGCAAGTGAGAGATTGTTGGCAATGTGCCCTAAACCCAAGCATATGATGATACTTTACGAATATTTCACATATTAAACTACACTAGTTTAATATAAGGGCAAAAATTGTTGTTTAAAGCCGTCTCATATTAATGTTATACACTTAAACAATAAGTATAAGGAATATGTAATTAGGAGGATGTAATCTAAAGAAATTCGATTTATGAGACCATTCTCTGTCATACAAATATCCTAAACGTTCCTGATCATAGGATTGCCAATTGGGCATTCACGATTTGTTAAGATCAGTACATGCCATGCCTTCTCTCTGGGAAAGTGACTGGTCTTGAGTCATTGGTGTGATTGATATCAAGACCAGTACATAAGTGCTCAATAGAAAATGAGTTCACTGAACATGATCAACGAGGAGTTCTCATACTCATGTCATTTGAGAACTCATAGTTGGGATAATGCAAAGTAGTCCTTTGACCTGAGGCATTATAGTTATCTTGTAGTTAGGTCCTTGATCTTTAACAGTGTTAAAGGCACTCCATCAAAGGGTGTTCATGACATAGTTGGGGTTAAGCCACTTAACCATAGAGGCAGGTGAATGCGCAACAAGGGATCTTTAACCTTCAAACTGTTGAGGGAGAATACTTTATGATATGAATAATCTCTGGCCAGAGTATGAATGAGATTTAGGAAGTTCCAAATCACATTCAAGGCAATCATATAGACAAGAAAATCACATTTGATAGTAGACATGAATAAACTATCAAACCAAACAATGTGATCAAGAGTACAATATTAGAGAAATACCGTATTGCATTCATAATCCCAAACTGAATAGGTTCTCCAACCTCTTCTAATTAGCTTAGGTAGTCATGACATATTGCTAGGTGTCACTCATGGCTTGTGGAAGCCCTGAAGATGTATAATCACTAAAGGAGAATTGAAAGTAAGTTTCAATTTACAATCAATTAGTAAGAGTTATTATCGCCCACTGCCCCGCTAAGATGAACCTAATGGATCGCATACCGTGTGAGGTGGTGATTGAAGGATATAACGAAGATGAATAAGGAAAATTAAATAGTTTAATTGTATATGGTAAGGATTAATTAAAAGTTAATTAATCAAGAATGAAAGGTTCATTTTAGGCCTTAAGCTAGTTTTGGGACCCAAATGAGTTTTGATCTGAAAGGTACATAAGGTTTAAGTTGTGTGACAACTAAAACAAAATGAGCGAATTACTCTAATTAACTACGTGTGGTTGGCCATAGAGAGAAGGGATGGTGTTGGTAGACTTATTACAAGTTTGCCACTCATTGGAACGACAATGATTGTCTGCCCTTCCACTTCCCGTGCCCTCATGTTTTGTGTGGTCATGGTTAAGCCACGTCAACATTTTATATTATTTTTTTATAGAGATAATAAGACAAAAATGAATAGTAATATAAAATGTTGACGTGGCTTAACCGTAACCACATAAACAGGAGAGCACGGGAAGTGGAAGGGCAAACAATCCTTGTCCCGTTTGGAATGACTATAAAAGCAACTTTATAACTTCATCCCTCATTAGGGTTTCTTTAAGGAAAGATGAGAGAACTTTTTGCTCTCTGTTTCTCTCAAGGAGGCCGGCCACATTGGGAGAGTTTACTAGCATCAAACTCTTAAACTCTTCCAATGTCACTCATCTTCTTCCTTCATCATCCTTGTTCAACTCTTCCATGTCATTGTTGGCTTCAATGAATTCTCAACTTTTTGATAGTCAAGTGGTGTTTCATGTATTGTATCCGCATAAAGTAGTTTCTGTCAGAAACTTCCATGCGGTGAAATCAAATTTGTTAAGGTTTGGCAATCTACTGATGGAGGGACAAGATTATGGTTGGTGCTACTGGTAATAAAAAAAAAGCCTCCATAAGCATCAAAGTTAGAACGTCTGGGTTCTAAGACATGGTTTAGTTTAATTTGCATGAATGACTTTGAATTTTTCATGGGTGTATTATTTTATGATGAAAACTTTGGGTTTCAAAAACTAATTCGAAACTTCAGATTCGATTTAAGTGAACTTCAAGTTCAAAAAATGGGTACTTGCAAGAACACAATATACAATACACAACTGGTGTAGTGATTTGGATTGCTTTGGAGGCCCAATGTGAGTAGTGATTTTGATTTGGATTTCTTCGGGTACCTGCAAGGTTGTAATAAAATTTTGGGTTGTAATTTATAAAAAGTGGACTACAGGTCAATAAGTTAATTCAATAGATCACATATCAAATCCAATCAGGAATCAGCAATATAAGTAAGATAATTTTTTTCTTCTAAGCCCATTTGTGATTTAATGTCGACTGCATACTAGTAAATAAAAGCATGCCCAAAACTAGGTGCGGGTTGAATGTGGGCAACCTCTACAGAGGCTGGGCTGCTGGCCAAGGTAAAAAAAAGAGAAGCCTAAATCTAGGCTTTAAGTAGCAGTTTCCAAAACCAAAAAATCCGAACAAAAAACAGAAGTTCACTAAAACCGGCTCGGTAGGTTTCGGTTTTTGTTTAAGGCCCTAGAAAATCTTCTACAACTCGCCGACTTCTCCTCACCAAGCAGCCACTCTGTTATCTTTCAAATTGAAATTCCTCTCCTTCACCCTTTGCTTGTTGAATTTCACATGAACAACATCTCCCTATAACCTAGGAGTTTTGTTCGGATTCAAGCTTTCCGACGGTAATTGGACGATTCCTCCAACGCCCGCCATCAAGGTTAGTCTGAATGATTCCTAACTTATTGACCTATTGCATGTCAAAATCTGCTTCAAGTTTGTGATTTAATATAGATGGGCTTTAGAAAAACTTTCATGATTTTGTCTAATCCAATTTAACGATTAGAAATTTCGCATTTACGAAGATGTGCTCATGGTGACTGCAATTTCATCTGCTCCAAACAAATATATTCTTTAGTTAACAAAAAAAAAAAAAAACAAATAGATTCTTTTTAATCTGAATTTAGAAAATTATATTTGAATTTGTTTTACTCTGATTCAGTTGGATTTAAAGGTTGTGTTTTAGTGTTTCCTGGATGGCCTGAGTTGTATATAAAGAAAAGAGTGATTTTTTGTATCCTAAAGAGTTTATCATGATCATAGACACGAGTTTGATATTATCAAGTAAGATGCCGAGTCCTCTTGCATTCATATCATTACATTTGTGAGCTGCTTTTAAGTGTTTTTGTTGATTTGTTTGCTTGTCTGGTATATACAAGAAGAGATGATGACACCACCACGAACATTATCAATTTATACATGAAAAACGTAACACTTGGGCCAAACTAACCATTTATTTTGAGCATGTTACATTAGCAAAATAATAAAACATATGACAGCGGGTTTTTCCAAGTCAATTTTTGTTGGCATGTTGTTGTTCATGTAAGTGTTGATTTGATTAATGCAAGTGATTTTGGCATTTTATGACACAGAAGAAGAAGAAGAATAGTATGTATGCTATAACATTATGAATCTGAGAACTGAGACATGTGAATTGTATGGATACGAGACATGTGAATTGTATGGAGGTAAGGAACAATTATGTGACTGTTTTTTTTGCTAAAAAGATTGTATGACTTTTTGATATATTGTTCATTACAAAACAAGGAAGGATAGTAAGTGTAATATATGATCTCTAACTATTCGACTTTGTTGCAAGCAATATTGTTTGGTGAAATAGTTGTGTCAAGATGTTGAAGAAAATAAAAAATATTTAAAATTCATTTTGAGGAGGTTCTCATTCCCCAGGTGAAATCCGAACCGATTTATTATATAATGTTTTTTTGTTTTTTTTTTTTGGCGTATGTGTCATTTTAATTGGTGATGGGTAGGTTCTATCATCTTGCAGTGGACCCTGTTTCACTTGCACATATGAATATCAAGATTTAGCAGTAACAGTTGCGCATGTATGTCTTCTTCACATCTATAATTCAGAGCTCATAGTTGTCGATTATCAAATATGGAGAATTCTCATCAAGTGTCGGACCACCTGGAGCCGTGGCGCCACCTCCACGGTAAGGTTGTCATGGTCACCGGCGCTTCCTCTGGTCTCGGCCGCGACTTTTGCTTAGACTTGGCTAAAGCCGGATGCAGAATCGTAGCCGCCGCTCGCCGCATCGACCGCCTTCAGTCCGTTTGCGATCAAATCAACCAGCTCCATTACCGCTCCGTCTTTTTCTTCTTCTGCTGTTGCTGATAATATTCCTGGAGGTGGCCCGCGGGCCGTGGCTGTTGAGCTGGATGTCAGCGCCGATGGCCCAGCTATTGAGAAGTCTGTGAACAAGGCTTGGGACGCGTTTGGGCGCATCGATGCCCTTGTTAACAATGCCGGTATTAGAGGTTGGTTTGGGTAGCTTCCCTGCCTTTTTATGTTATTTGTTTTGGATTTGCTTTCTCGTTTGGGGTTAAATTATTATAGAGAAACCAACGATCAAATTAAGCTGCATATAGGCTCTTAGAATTCATTCCATGATAAATTCATAGAGTTTGGACTCGAGAGGAAAACCTGGAAACTCGAATTTGTAAACAAAACGATACATAGAATGCAATAGGAATCCTGTTGTGTGAGCATTCATCGCTTTATGTATGTTAGTTTCACTTTAGAATTGTATTTTGGTAATCCAAATTGCTTCTTTGATTGTTTCAGTTCATGAACTAAAATGAACTTACCAATGACAATACTGAACTACTGAACACGACCCCCAGTAGAGACTGGTACGATTCAATTCAACACTTTGTTCGTTCGGGTTTGATTGACTGTCCCAAGTATTGTATACAAACATGTGCCCTCTACGCTACCTCTAGAGGGGTGGGGGTGGGACTTTATCGGATTCGGACTGGACTAGACTCAGTCCATATCCTCATTATAAGCCAACTACAATTACACACATATTCACTTATTATGTATGGATTATCAGCTAGTCAGAATAGTTCGTCGTTGGACCTTGCTTTTGCAAGCCATGATAGATATTTTATACACTTCATACGTACAAAATTTCAAAGCCAATGACACTCTTGTTAAGGTCAGTTACACAGAAAAGTTATTCCCTAAATATAGATTTTAAGGTCTAAGTTTTTTATTGACGAGTATCATTTTGTGAAAGTTAAATATGATGTTCTTTTCATTAGTAGTACAAGTCCCAATTTTCTATGAGCATATATTTCAGTATTGGTGTGTAATAGATGCTTACTACCATCTGTGTTTCTTAGGTAATGTGAATTCTGCATTGGAATTGTCTGAGGAGGAATGGAATCATGTTTTCAGGACAAATTTAACGGGTTCCTGGTTGGTTTCAAAGTTTGTTGCTATACGCATGCGAGATGCTGATCAGGGAGGATCAATCGTCAATATATCTTCCATTGCTGGTATTAATCGTGGACATTTGCCTGGAGGTACAGCATACATTTGTTCAAAGGCTGGCGTAAACACCTTAACAAAGGTATTATCTCTAACATGCTCATAGGGAAAATCATATTAATCGCGTAAGTTGAAGGCATTCTATTTTTGTTTCTTTTGGCCTATATATGAAATATAAGAACTTGAAGGGACACCTGCCTCCTGAGAAACATAAGGCCGAAATTGTACATGGAGTGCATGATGACTTTTTTGGAGTGCCAAACATAGACTGAAGGACCAAAATCTGCCTAGGAGTATTTCAATTCTTTTTTAGTCTTGTAGAGGAATATTGCCATTGAGGCTATGGGCTATACCCTGTACTTTCCCTTATGCGCCCATTTTAAGCCGGTTTTGATTCTCGGTCTCTTTAGTTCATTAGTCGTAACATCTAAATGCCAAAATGCTTGCCATCTTCATGTGCTGTAACTTTTGTATGGGGAATTCCCAAAGACTTGGAAGTTTTTTGGCGTAAGCTTAACCAAGTTACCAGACTTTACCCAAACTTAATTAGTATCCAATTTCATCTCTGGCTCAACCCAAATAATGTGTTTCTTTGTTGGGTTAAGTTCAGAGCAGCTTGGGTTATCATCAGTCACTAAAGTGAGTTTACACAAAGCTGTGGTTACCGCAAGCTCATGGTCGAAGTTTCCAGTTTGAACCATTGGACATCCTAGACATTGATCATTGTGGATTAGATGCTTGTCGAAAGGAAAAGTGGAGGTGTTAAGAGAATTGAAGTTACTAGAATTGGGAATGAGACACAGTAAAACTAATATGACGGACACCAACACTATCATTGCCTATTCTTTCTTTCCCATTTTAAGATTTTATCCTCAACTTTGTCATAGCACCGGTACTACCTTTGCTTATTCTCTCGTTGTTTTATTTTTCTCTCATAAGTTTCACTATTTGTTCCCAGACCCTGCGTAAAGCGGGAGCCTTGTGCACTGGGTACGACCTTTATAAGTTTCACTATTTGTATTTCGTTTTGAGAATTTTCTTAAGGATTATGTTCTGTAGTTCTCTGCACATCGTAGTGTGGGTGACGGCTTTGATGGAACTATACTAAATCTTATTATTTTAACCAGACTATGGCTATGGAGTTGGGGGTGCACAAAATCAGAGTGAACGCAATATCACCTGGACTTTTCAGGTCGGAAATTACGGAGGGTCTTATGCAAAAAAAATGGATACCCAATGTGGCTATGAAAATTGTCCCTTTACGAACATATGGGACTTCGGATCCAGCATTGACATCGCTACTTAGATATTTGGTACATGACTCTTCTGAATATGTGTCTGGCAACATTTACATTGTTGATGCAGGAACCACCTTGCCAGGTGTTCCTATTTTCTCTTCCCTCTGAAGTTTTATGTAGATTTGTACTCATGAGGAACAGAAAAGAGTAGAGAAATAAATAAACGTACGATGAATACGTAAGGAAGCCCCTGACAAGTTCAAGATTTATGAATAATAGAAGGTATGGCGGAATTCATTTTGTGGACTTACTGTTAGATTTTTATGTGCATTGAGATCATGTATGACATTGTTGCAAAACAGATTTTCAGTTTTAATTTTCAATTTTTCGTCAGACATGAAGAAGAGTGAAGGATGGCGGACGGATGTGGAAGAAATGTATACTACGAAATGGTACACTGCATCGAAACTAAAAATCAAAATTGAGAATTTGGCTACGGTTATATGTTGTAATGACATCCAATGACCATATCTACAACTGTCAATAGTATGATTATATTAAGTATTTCAATGTACCTTGCAGATTCCACCAAATATACACATTTGGAGCAAAATAAGGAAGGATTTCCTTTCGATGTATGTGCTTGCTTATCTTACGGTCTTTAATGTCACAAACCAAAACAAACTCGCCAAAGAAAATTGTCCCTAGATTGTAATAAGTTAGATGGCAAGCTATCCTTGTCCAATACTCATCATAATTTTGGCCAACAAAATGCCAAATCTCCCGCCCCATAAATGTAATCCGTTGCATCCGTCCATGAATCTTTGGACGCTGGATCGTAGTCATGGGTTGATAGCTGTTTACGGGGCGAGAGTGACGAGACAGAGAGCACCAAGTGAGCAAGCCTTTTACTTCTCATACATTTCATTTAATTTTTTGCCATAAGATCGAATGAATTGAAAATCAACGATAAAACACTAAACATAGATGAATGCAAGGTAATAATGGGAGTGAATAACACTATCAATTAGCTTTTGTCCTTTGGGTCATATAGGAAGGAAGCTGTATAGTTTTACCGTATTTCCCTCTTGACCTCCCTACTGTCATCTCCTCCTCCGCTAACCTTTCCTGTGCGCGTGCAAAATAAATTACACAATACAAGATCAATCTCGTACCGGCGATGGCGACTGTGCCCGCTCCCGGAAAGCTGTCGTAATTGAGGTTAGCGGCTATCAATTCAATTTTACTATCAATTCGTTGGGAAATTTTAGGAGTAATATTATTATTTTTGTAATTATCATCAACATGGTTTGATCAAAATGTTAGGGTTTGTGGATTGAGATTGAGATTGTGATTGAGTTTGCGATTGCGATTAAGTTGTCAAGACAAATGAGGAATGTGAAGGGAACACTTGCAGGATTCGGTGGGGGGGGGGGGGGGAATGTTGAGGCTTCCTATTTGTCAAATCGTAATTTCAGCACTGTAATGCCTCTGTCTCCGTCTCTTTTCCATATGATTCAACAATTACACCCATCTCTTAATTCGTTCTTTGTCGTAATTAATTTGTATGATCCCAGCAGCAGCAGCATCGGGTTTTAAAAGACATTCCGGAATTTGTAAAGATTGTAGAAGTTGGTCCGAGGGATGGACTGTAGAATGAGAAGCACATTGTTCCTACCGCTGTCAAGGTTCAATTGATTCAAATGCTTGTTTCTTCTGGCTTGCCTGTTGTCGAGCCTACAAGTTTTGTCTCCCCAAAATGGTCCCTCAGGTTAACTTTAGACATTTTGTCTATGCTTCCATCAATTCACATTATGTAGCATATTCAATTATACATTGGACAAATGTTGTTCTTCTGTGGTTGTTTCGCGTCTGCCGCTTCTGAGCAATCCATCAGTTCCTTGTTTTCTAATGCTTTTCTCTTTGTTTTTTTTCTTGTTTCATACTGTTTGTGTAGTTCCATTGCGCCCCCTTGAAACCTTAACAAGTTTTCATTTGTCAAGGGAATCTCTGAAGCATCTTTAAAATTATTCTTCATTGGCTATGGGTTTTCATGGCTGACTTTCTTCCCTGTCTTGCTCATCTTTCAATTAAGAAAAATAGAACATAGAATTGTGACCAAAACTAAACTTCCTAATTTTGTTTAGTTAGTGCTCCGCTTGTATATACATGATTGAGCTACCATAAACCGTAAGGTTAACCGTGTATTTTGTGTGTTAACTTCTATGGGTTTCTTTCCTCTCCAAGTACTGTCGTTCCAATGCTTGAAGCTGTTATTGGCATGGTCCCGACTGACATGCCTGCTGTCCATTTTAATGAAACTTATGGGCAAGCTCTTTCAAACATACTAGCGTCACTCCAGGTAATCCACATTGCTTTTGAATTTAGCAGGAAATTAAATAATATGTAGGTTTTTATAAATTTTGATATGATTCGAGCTGACAAAATTAAAGTGCTAGTCTTCAGGCTAATTGTGTTTGTCTTGAAATTTTTTACCCCGATTAACACTATCAATAAACAGTTCATGTTTGAAAGGTTTTCAGAATTCATGCAGGTAAGTGCAAAGACTTAATTAATAGGTGTAGCAAAGTGTAAATGCCTCAATAATAGTTATTTGAAATCCTAGAAGATGTACAACGAAGTACATTTGGCACTTATTAAGGGACAAGGACGGTACTTAATATGCCCTTGCCAACTCAATGGTCTGAGAGGACTAGTTTGGAGCGCTAGCAGTTCTTGTGGGTTCATCGTTGCTAAAATGAAGTGATAACAAGCTCAATGAAGTTGGTTCGGACATGCAATTTGGATTGGAAGTCATCTACATAGTCTTGAGCTTGTCACAGTTAGTGTGATGAACATCAAAATAAGCAAATGGAGCTCTTGAAGAAGGTGCATAATCCAAAATATAAGCTCAAACTTGAGAAAGTGAGCAATATTTGGAATCTGAACTCAAACGAAAGACAATAGATTTATTTATCGGCACTTCAACACATTAAGTTGGGGCCCAAGGAAACAATGACACAATGAGAAATCACCAAACTGATTCCCATTCTTGTGACTACATGATTCTGTGGACTATACTTTTAGAATTCCGACTAATCTTAATGACATTTATTGTATTGGCAGATAGGAATCAGCACAGTGGATTCATCAGTATCAGGTCTTTGGGGTTGCCCGTATGCTAAAGGAGGTTCCGGAAATGTTGCCACGGAAGATGTTGTGTACATGCTGAATGGACTTGGAGTGAAGACCAATGTAGATGTTAAAAAACTCATGTTGGCTTGGGACTTTATCAGTAAGCACTTGGGGCGCTCATCTGGTTCAAAGACAGCAGTTGCCTTGGGTAAAGACACAGCTCCTGCCTCGAAGCTATGAGGTACCACCACTAGATTGTGCAAGTCTCAATGTGTTACGCTCTAAATTTATTGATACCTGAAATAAAGAGGGGGAGTCACTGTAAGTTGTTTTGGTGATGTGTGATGTATTGATACAAGTACATTTGTGCAAAGCAAATGTGAGGTGAATCAAATTAGAGAATTGATGAGGACTAGATGGAGACTTGAGGCATGTTTGGTGACCCGGTTGGGATAGATTGTGACCAATTGAAATGGACATGAGTTCAGTCTGTTGTTTGTTGTGTTAAAATGTGAGATAGACATGATGAGTTATGAATCCAAAATAGAGTGGGTTATTTAATATATCCTTACAGGTGAATGGGTGCTGAGATAAAATTATTGAAATTACCAACCGGCAAATGGATGGGTCGTAGAAATAGGTGGATGGGGACGTCGGGAGGAGTGTCCGGAGTTGGATTGGGTTCGACGTAAAATATAGAGGGGTTATATGATGTTGTTGCTGTCGAAAGCAGCGTCCACACCTCCTCGTCGGCAGCCGTCGAGTCGCAGGTCACCAATATTTGTCTCTCAATTTTTTATCATTGGTTTCGGTATGGTTACCGTACCAAAACTTTTGTACCATTTACCATTCCAAAATTTTGGTATTGCAAAATCAATTATCATTACCGTGACAAATTTTCAATACTACCAACGTTTGGTATGCCAAATAGTTGGTTGACATGGTATGGTAATTGTAAGTATCATTTTGTTTCGAGCCATTTTTGTTGGTTGACATGATTTTATATATATTTCATGTACTAAACACTAAATATATATAATAATATAGATTTATATTTTTCAGTACAGTACGGTAATGCCGTGGTAATGGCACCGAATACTAAGACTGTACCAGAAAACTTTGGTTTAGTACATTACCGTGCCATTACCGATTGAGACAAAAAGTTTGGCACAAAATCGGTATGATACGATTGGCACGGTAATTTGACAAAAATCCACCCCTACCTATAATGTAGCTTAACATCAACATAATAAGGGTAGAACAAAGTTGAAGAAAATATTATGCACAAAATGCATGAGACATGGCGATACATTTACAGGAACAGGAAAGTATGATTACATTTATAGGAAAAGGAAAAGGAAAGTATGATGAGACATGGCAATTTGGGACCTCATTGGCAATTAGTCCTATCCTTCGAGGTGTAGAATACCTCAGGCTTGGGCCAAAAACATAAAAAAAAAAAATCACAAACTTTTAATCTATACAATTTGGTAAGTAGTGGCCGCATGTTCTCACTCTTCATTATTAGTAAGTAGGGGTCTCATGTTCGACTCTCATGACGATATCTATCCTGCATGGTCTCTTGTGATGCCGCCACCTCTGCAATTATCGTTATCCTTCACACAGCCCACCAGTTATTGCCCTAACCTAAAATCATAGAGGAAAAATGGTCCAAAAAAAAGAGAGGATAAAAGGGAGGATGAGGAGAAAACAAGTGCTGCAACTTTATGGATTTGAAAGGAAAAAACAGGGAGGTGCCTAAATTTCTACCTAATTTACCATCGGCTTCTTGACAATCTTAACACTGTCGTAGAAGCGCCTAAGCTCCTTCATAGCCTTTTCCTCGATCTGAATTGACCGAATTGGTGACGGTTGATCTACCTCCGGTTTGAACCACCGGTTCACTCCAGAAGTATCCAGTGGCGATCCCTGACCACTTGTGACTGAGAATCCGGTGGTTTTTGTCTTTGGACTGTGGGATACACTCTGGTGTTGCTTGCCCTGCTTTGAGACATAAAAAGACGGGTAAGAGTTCCGTAAATTAAATCCGTCAAAACATCATCACTGGCAATGCAGTAACAAGAACGTAATCCAAAGTTAAAATACAGAATTCCCAACACATAAGAAAGATAATAAAATGTCGGCACACATAGAATGCGAGAAAGAGGGTGCAAATCATATACCTGCTGCATTTGGATGTCCCTCAGAGATGGGCGAGAAACAAGGGGAGGAGTTCCTGAAGCAGTCCAAGAAGGTGTACCTCTGTCTCCATCAGATGCCAGTGGAGTATGGGTTGAAACCAATGGTATTGGCTTGGAAGGTAAAAAAGAACTCAGACGAATCTTTCCATCGCTTCTATCATCGAAAGGATCTTCTGGGTGACTTTTGTTCCCAGTTGACCGACTCTCCTTGGTTCTGCTTTGCTCATCCTGAATCTCGCGAAGGGATGCAAACCCTTTGGAAAATTTAGCACCACCCCATGCCGGGCCTTCACTTTTTGGGGATGGTGGAGGGGGTGCAACATGCTTGGGGGCATCATCAAGAGCGCCACTCAAGAACATAGAAAGCCCACCCTTTTTATTCTTCTTCTTGGACACTATTGGTGATGAACACTTGTTATTTGTTAGGTTTAAATTGTCCTTCTTAACACACAAAGCTGACTCTTGATTGGTTTGGCTTGTCGCAATCCCTTCGATCATGGCATCCTCCTCCTATCACACGTAAAATTTCAAACAATTTAGAAAATGAGATGAATTGCTTGACATACATAATATAAAACTTCTGTTCACACTAAGCAATATAACATATTTAAACAAACACAAGGGTCACAAAAATCAAGCCCTTGTTTAGCAAGAAGGCAATAATCTGATGAAAATTAAGAAATGCAAGTTATACTAGTGGGTAAATAGCATGGCAGGATCAAGCTAAATGATTGCGCTAGTGTGTGCGCCTTGATGTTTAATATATACATTTTCCCATCTAGGTGGTGTGAAGTGATATAGGAAGTAATTAAGGGAAGGTCAAATTCAATACCTCTATCTACAGAATGCTTCATTATGCACATGCTAAACCCGTAAATCCTTATTATTGAAAAGATTCCCAAGCCCATTTAAAGTTTCAAACGTCACAAAAGAAAAACAAAATCAGCTTAACATGAACTGACAATAGATTTGTAGTCGATAACCATCATTTACTCAATCTTGATAAGAAAATTAATTCAAAAAATTCACGAGCTCACCTTATCCTTTGAGGTTTGAGAGGTTTCAGTATTCAAGAAACCATTAGCATGGTTTAGTTCTCCTTCATTTCCCGAAAAACACAACCCTATTTCCACTTGTGTTGCCATCTTTTTGTTCCTTTTCTTCTGTTTTTTTGATGGCTCAACCTTTTTGTTCACTTTTCCATCTAGCAAAACTGACGATGGTGTCTTCAACTGTGGTGTCTCAACTGGAACACCAAGCTCAGCCAGCGAGCTCTCTAGAGCTGACCTCGTTTGGAGCTTTGTAATTTGCTGGTCATCAAGAACTTCCCCCCTAGACTGTTTTGCTTCAAGCATCTCAATCTGCTGCAGCTTTTTCCGCAAGGCTCGAACTTGCTTTTCAATACCATGATTTGGATCATCTTTGGGTTGAAGAAAGGAATCTGCTCTTTGGTGGATTTCATTTTTCCAGATGGATTGCTCTGTATGGCCGTCACGCGTCCTTTGAACCTCACCATTACTATCTTCCTCTTCACTATAAATAATAGCAGGAAAAGTAGCTGTAGGAGTTGGGAAACAACGGTAACTCCATGGTTCAGATGACCTTAGGTCCAATACGTTTTCAAGGTTAGCTAGAACATCTGGTGAAGCACTAGCAATAGCTTGTGATGATACCGTAAAAATATAGTCAAGGTTGCGTATGGCAATCTCCTGCAGTTTAAAAAAGAACAGCCCCAATAATTAAAATCAATTAATATAACATGTAAAATAGAAAGCTTTGCATCACAAGTTGCAAAACCAGAAGCATAAGGCAATGGCGCAGCTCAAATATCAAATGTTTTTTGGACAAATTTTAGGAAAATACAAAGACCTATCTGATAATTTCAGCCATCAGTGATACGCCCATCCAACCACACACACAGACACAGAGGGAGGGAGAGAGATTCAAATCAGGTACAATTTGAGACAGATTAAAAGTTAAATAACTTTTCTTTCAAATATTGAGCAGTCAAAGAATACCTCACAGTACTTCCGCAAATCATCTGCCACAAGTGAATCGGCAATTTCGAGCAGTTGAATAGTATTTCGTGGCTCCACTAGATTCTCTGCAGCCACTTTTTGACAAAGACTTTTCAAGCTCGGTATGGGCTTCTTCCCAGCATCATCATTTTGGATAGTAGGTAAAACATTGTCAGACTCCATGTCATTGAACATAAGATCTTCATCAAGCTCTTCTAGCTCATCTTTGGCATTTGACTTCTGCTTCGGAGGGTTATTGGAAGTGTAGGCAGGGTGATAAAGGGAGCCAATAATCAACAAGTGTGTTTCGCCTACAGAAACTGAAGTAGCCCGCTTCGTACCATGTAACCGAGTCGCAACTGGTGGCTTATCCTTACCATTCTTCCCATCCCACATGTAAACATCACCTGTAGCTGTAACTGCGGCAGTCCAGTATTTCCCTGCAGATATGTTCACCATACTTCTTCCACTCAATGAATACAGCTGTACAAACAAACAAAAGAACGGAGAGAAGATTAGTGATTTAACATGTGTCGCCCAAAGGATAAAACAATCAACAAATCACTAATTTACTAAAGTAAAACCTGCTGGCTTCTGAAATCCGGATCTGATGACACCCAATAAAATAATGCGCCATCATCTGTCAGAGCTGTGCTATATACCATCCCTGCAGCTATAGAAACCACATGAAGCCGTTCCTTGCGATGAAACTTCAAAGTGGTAGTTCCACTCTTTTTCAAGTTTCTTGCAATTAAAACACGTTTTGGCGTGACAATGCGATGACCCCAAGTGTATACCTGGCACATAAATACATACAGAATTAGGCTCAAATAAAGCAAATAGAGGAAAGTTTTCACAAGATCCCAGGCACGAACATAGTCTATAAATGTATCGTGAAATGAATACCAGATAAAAGTACTAATGTTTGAGCCTATTGAAAAATATGCAATTTTAAATCAGGTTCAAAATTACCTCCCCATCAACTCCCAATATAATTGTGTGATATTTTGCTGCTGCAACCCCTTTAAAAACCTTGCCTTTCAAGGATTCAACTAATCTTGGGGTGTAGTTTGAAGCAGAGTTAGATGTACCATAGCCAAGCTGACCTTCCCTATTGCACCCCCATGTGAAAACTTCACCACCGTTTGAAACAACAGCAGTGTGCTTGTTGGCGGCAGCAACTGCAACAACTTTTGACCTAAGGGAACTCACTCTACGAGGTGTAGGTTGGGTATCCACGGAAGTGTAGCCAAGCTGACCCTCTACATAACATCACGTGAATGAATCAATTTTCTATGGTCGTCAATCTCAGCAATAAATTGATCACAAATCAATTTTCTTACAAGTTGAATTGTGAATGTAGCCATTGACTAAAGAATACAAAATTTGTGTTTCTTTTATTATGATCAGTAAGTAATTTGAAAATTGCAAACCCTTTTAGTTGGCAGTTTAAATCCCCATATGATTTACCTCTATTGGACCCCCAGGTGAACACTTCCCCACCCTCCGTAGCAATAACGGTGTGATGTTTAGCTGCCGCAATTGCCTTCACCCGACGGGACCCTATACCAAATGTCACGTGACGCGGTGTGATAACTGCAGCTTGACCGCTGAAATGCATATAATAAAATGGATTTGACTGGCGATTCGCAAAAAAGTGTAACTAGGTAAAGCACGCAGATTTCAACTGATTAGCCACATTTTTTTAGTGAAAGGTGACAAAACTCGACTTCTACTTCATACAGTGAATAAACCTTCAGAAATATACTGCCTTTTTCCTTTGCATCTCATCTTTTTACAAGTTCAAGATGAAAAGTTCCTTCAACGTAGAAGCTACATTCATACATAAGGACAAGCATAATAGTGTACCCATACATGGATATATAATGTTAGGAGTATTACACACTTAAATTTGGTTATGTTAATGAATTTAATTTGTCCAAACAATTCACACATTAAGAACTGTTTGGTACCTAATTTTACACAGTATGTGGAAATGCTAAATCAACCGAGGTTATAAACTTATAGTATAGTAAATGTCTGTACCTGTGTATATCAAAATCAGGGTGACCAAGTCGTCCTCCTCTTCCAAACCCCCAAGTGTAGACTTCTCCTCGAGAAGTGACTGCCACACTATGGAACTTAGCAGCAGAAACCAACTTGATTAAAGAACAACGAAGAACATCAACCTTGCATGGTAACTTTTGTATGTGTGCATTTCCAGTTCCAAGTTGATAGTTTGTACCACTTCCCCAACTATAAACCTCCGTCGTAACTGAAGACAACAACAGGAATCAGCTAATCTCTAAGCACAAGTAAGATCAGTCTGAAAAAATATATTATGATCCTCAGAAACCTTGGCGAAACACAGCGGTAGATACCAGAGTTGTGTCCATTTTGAAGAGCTTGCAAGACAGGCCCAGAGAGGAGATCAATAGGTGTTCGAGATTTAGAATCCTCTAGTGTGATAGAAGCACCAGACTGGAGAAGTATACTTGCCACTGCAAGATGACCAAAATGGAGAGCTCTGTGAAGGCTACTCCATCCAGATTCCCCATCCTGCAATAAAGGATACGAAGGGCCATGCAAAGAGAAATCATAAATACCAGTTTCGATATTAAATGAAAATTAAAAATGAAACCCAACCAAAACACAAAAGTATCACTCAAAATATCAATTCATTTTGTTATATGAATGAATCTTACTTTCCTGATCCAACTGTTTGAAATAATTGGAAATTATAGCCTTCAGAAAGTAAAAGCATTAAAAAAACCATAAAATCACAAAATTGTCACATTCTTTGCAAATGAGGCCTATTTGTAAAAATTCATGGCCAAACAGTTTTAAATTGTAGTTATCTAAAAATTGAGTAATTCTTTTATTTACCTTTTTTTTACATGGTAAAAACTTAGATTAGCAATTTACTAGAAACTCAACATGGAAATTAAGTGAAACAAATGATATCATATCATGGGATGATATCATAGCAGTTCGATTATATCCTTGACCTCCGGTTGCTTTAGGTCTCTAATAATTTGCTATTTCCTAGAACATTTATTTAACTGCAGGTCTGATTAACTGAATTTTATGGAAGTCACAACAGACAGCAACTCAAAAACACAATTGGCAATAAGAAATAAATAAATCTCAAGCATATAAAACAAACAGCTTAATAGCCAGTAGCAACAACATAAAAGCATTCATGTCACATAATGATCAGTAAAGTAACAAACCCTAATATCTGGGTCAGCGCCAGCCGCAAGAAGCCTCCTAACAATGGGAATGTGGTTTCTCCATGTTGCAATATGAAGAGGAGTGAGACCAAAAATGTTTCTTGAATTTATATCACCACCACTCTTCTTCAGTAAACCTAGTGCTGAATCCACATCAGCCAATGATCCTTCTCGCACAACAAAGCAAAGATCTTTCTGGGTTCCAGTCGACAGAAATTTGCGAGGAGGCTTTTGTCCTTGAGGTGAGGCTTCCATTAGTATAAAAAACAAGGCTGAATGCCACTACGTAACGATTAATATGTTGTCACCAGACAAGTAGAATGTCAGTTCATGACCAACAAACCCTGGAGGCTCTTGTTGAAGTTGGTGTCGTCTAATCCATGTTCCACTTGATTTCCAATCCAATATCTAGATAGCCAAGTAGCTATGCCAGCGTCGGCATCCTTGTGCTGAACACAATCCCCTCACAGACCCCAATCACCGTTCCTCCTCTAACAGAGACATTCAGTAGACAAGTGACGCGAGAGACTGTATTCGAAGTTACTCTGACAGTACAATATACCCTTCACGCTGACCAACTGAAACAAATTTGAAACAACATTAACAATTAAACAAATTGCACGGGTTGCCAAAAGGATATATTACCTATGTCGTACAGCTACACCCTGAATGACTGCCAATTCCATCCTAAAAATGCTAGAAATGAAAGTAAAATTCTACCCCAAATTACGTAGATGCTTTTTTTTTTTTCACATATTGGCAATTAATGGGCAGATCACTATATCAGCTCTTACATGGACCACATTGCTCATCTACTTTCAGTACAGAATATAATTTATCCATACAAGATTTGTTCGTCTACCCACTTCTCCTCATCAGTTGGCCAATAGTCCAATGACAAATCGAAAGATGAAATTTTCCAAACAAATCCCCTAATCACTCAATCGATTCCAAATTCAAACTTTAATACCCAATCGATTCAAAATTCAAACTTTAACACCCAATCGACTCAAAAATTCAAAATTCAAAGTTCATCACAATAATGACTCGCTACAAATCTACGAATCAAGTTATAATTTTCAAAACCCAAATAAAAGAAGAATCACATGAATTTGAACAGTACCAATCAAACCAAACCATGCCCACCACCAGAAAAAGGATTTCCGATAAGAAAAATGAGATACGAAACTAACAATACTGGAATGGTAAGAAGAGCAATGTGAAGAACAAACTAACCACTAAAAATGGTGGTTCCCAATACCAAAACACACCGAAATACCAGAAAACACCAATACCCATTGTCCAGAAACTAAAATAAATCACAAAAACAGAGATAATTAGCTCAGAAATTAACTCACCAACTCAAATAGATCCCACCATTCCAAAATAAATCATTAAAATTTACCCAAGAAAAGGATAACACGAAAATAAATCACAAAAACAGAGATAATTAGCTCAGAAATTAACTCACCAACTCAAATGGATCCCACCATTCCAAAATAAATCATTAAAATTTACCCAAGAAAAGGATAACACGAAAATAAATCCCAAAAACAGAGATAATTAACTCAGAAATTAACTCACATCATCAAAATTTACCCAAGAAAAGGATAATACGAAAATAAAATCACCTGTTTTTCCTCTGGGGGAGAGAGAGAGAGAGAGAGAGAGAGAGAGAGAGAGAGAGAGAGAGAGAATTTAAAGGAGCTCTTGCTGTGTTGCGTTCTGTTCTGAAAAGAAACTGAAAGGCATAAACGCTTCTGAGAGAGAGGAGAGAACCGATTCTTTGAACTAGAAGGGCATTTTGGGGATTAAAATTGTTGGGTGAAGAAAAATGTGGTGGTTCTTGGATTTGACGGAGATGGCGTTGGCGCGTGTGCTTGCGAGAGAGAGTTGGGTGGTCTCATGAGCTCTGTTCCGTTTATTGTACGAAACATATTTCTCGCACGCTGAAAATTTTGGACTGGATCTTTCCATTTATTTTGTCCTTATCATTAAAACTCAAAATTTTCAAACCGTTTTTATTAGTTTTTTTTTTTTATAAAAATTAATATAATATATTAATGTAACTTAATCGGACGATTATTCAAATTTATACAGTTGCAGAGAGCTTTTTTTAAGTGATTTTTTATTTATGAGAATCTTGACTAGAAGTAGAACCCCAAGTCACTATCTCCCAAAAGTATTGAAGAAATAAACGGGGCGAGAAGAAACAACTCATCACTAACCCGACCCGACCACACCTCCACGCTCAGACCACGGTTGGCGTTGGAGCCACTCGGTCACTGCAGACGATTAAAAAAAGTCACTTTCCCCAGAAAAAAAACGGAGGAGAAGGAAATTGGGACCTTTTTTCGCTGCTTTGCCATTTAGGGGTTGGAACCCGCGAATTAAAATAATAAGTAAATTTAAAAAATAAAATAAAATCTCTACCTTTTCCCCTTTTCTCTATTGTTTTCGGCCAGCCGCTCATTTGCAGAAGAACCCCTTTTTCTGTTGAACCAACGATCTCAAGTCTCAAACAGGTAAACATTTTTTTTTTAAATTTAAATTTAGATTTTGTTTGTTCTTCTCGCGTTTCTCTGATCTGCTTCATCAGTCTGATTTGCAATTTATTTTGTGAATTTAGATCCATGCATCATATATATCTACCATCCCATTCACCCATTTTTTTGGGTACTTAATTTTATTCACAAAGTTTAGAGCTTTGGATGTTTTCTTTCTGTTTTGGACAAAATATCTACTGGGTTGTATTCTTTCATTGTTTCTGCATTCTGGGCATTACCCAGATGAGATGATTAATGTGTTGAATCACAAAAATTTGAAGTTGGATTTTCGTGTTGATCCAATTATCTTGGGTGGCAAGTTTACAAGCATGTATGATTGTAATCAGTGATGGGTTTGTTCAGATGCGTGGATTGAGTTATTTCAGTTCGTTTTGGTAGCAGGTTGGTTGTATTGAGGCTTATTTGCATTTTGTTTCGAAGCGAAAAATCGAAGCTTGATTTGGAAGAGATGGGGTATATTGGGGCACATGGTGTGACTGCTTTGCATAAATACAAGTACAGTGGCGTGGATCACTCTTACACTGCCAAATATGTCTTGCAACCCTTTTGGAGTAGCTTCGTTAAAATCTTTCCCCTTTGGATGCCGTAAGTTTCTTAATCTTCTTCTCTGATTTTATTGATTACTGATTGACTTAAGTTAACTTTATATACTCTTCTCTTTGGCTTTAATTGGTGCTTTAATTGGTGGGTAAGGTCATGAGTTTTCTGGTGTTATAAGCTTTCATGTTTTGTTCTCGAATTTAGGTGCATAAGTTTTCTGTTTTAGTAGTTTCTGCTGGGTTTATCATGGATTTATGTTATTCACTAGTCTACGTTTGATACATTTATTTTAAGAATACTTCGAAATGGACAAGCAAACATTTGTAGTTTGCACGTCGAGTTCGAGATCTTTAGCTGACTTCATGTAAATTTACAAACCCAACAATATGCAGCTATGTTTTGCTTAGAAGATGGAATATTTCTTTTAATTGATAATGCGGACTTACAAGAATGAAAATTTATAGCATTTTTTTTCTGAGACTAGATAATATCTCCTTCATTGATTATGATTTTTAACATCACATGATTGTGATTTTTGCTGATGTTTGCTAACATTTTCCTTTTTTCCCTGGTTTCTTCCCACTCTTCCGTTTCTGACTTTTTCTTCAGGCCCAACATGGTAGAGTGACCTTTATTCCCAACTATGCTTAATCGTTTTTTCAAACTGTTGCCTTTCTATTGATGATTATGCTTTATTTTTTTGCCAGATAACTCTAACAGGATTCATGTTCTTGCTCACATCTGCTCTGCTTGGCCATGTGAGTGGTTTTTTCTTATCATCTTTTAATTTTCTGCTGTTAGGTTTTCCTGTTTATAATGCTAATCTTTTAACTCAAGCTTCACATTTAGTTTTAGAAATGTTCACATTTATCTTTTACTCTGGTTTTGGTGTGCATGATACTTAAAATGGGAATGTTATTACTTAGTAAGCTTCCCATTAATTTGTGTTATGTGTTTTTCCCAGATATATTCACCACGACTGGATTCAGCTCCTCCTAGATGGGTTAATTTCGCTCATGGATTGCTACTTTTCTTATACCAGGTTTGCTTAAATACATACATCCAAGCAGAGTTGCCTTTGATTTTTCTGTGGTGTCCTCTTTATTGTTACACATTGCTGTTTTATTTCTATCTTCATTGTCTCATTTTCTATCACTTTCCTGTTTTTTCACAAAAAAATCTTAGACCTTTGATGCCGTTGATGGGAAACAAGCAAGACGGACAAATTCCTCGAGTCCACTAGGGGAACTTTTTGACCATGGTAATGCACTGCTATCATGTTTTTTTTTTCTTTTATTGCCTTTGTACATTCACAATTGAATATTGATGATTTATATTCTGGCGGATCTCAATGAATTGCAGGTTGTGATGCCCTTGCGTGTGCGGTATGTGTCTTCGTCTTTTCTGGTCATTTGGTACTCTGGAATTCAAGTTTCTTTTTCATGTTTTATATGTGCTTGTTTAGTTCGAAGCATTGGCCTTTGGAAGTACTGCAATGTGTGGAAGATCTACTTTCTGGTTCTGGGTGATTTCAGCTGTTCCATTTTACTTTGCTACTTGGGAGTCGTAAGTTGTCCAACTGAGTTTGATTTTGTTATTAGTCATTCGGGAATATACCACCTCTTTTTTTTTTCTTGGGGAAAAGAGTGGGGGAGTGGGTTGATTCGATATGCTAGCATATAAGTTTGTTCACTCCATGACCCTGCATAGAATATTTCACATGTAAAAATAGAATGTTCTGATTTATGACTTTGTTGATCCAGTTACTTTACCAATACCCTAATCCTTCCTGCTGTTAATGGGCCCACGGAGGGTCTAATGCTGATATATTTGGCCCATTTTTTCACAGCTATCGTTGGTAAACTCCTAATTTCATTCTGCTACTCTACTTGTATGTACAGCTTGAAGTTAACTTCTAAACCAATATCTAAAAACTCTTATTTTCTCTAAGTACATTTATTTCTTTACATTTTCAGGTTCTGAGTGGTGGGCTCTACAATTTGGAAAGTCTTTGCCTTTTCTGAGTTGGGTCCCCATTCTTAGTGGTAAGGCCAAGCCTAATTTAGTTGATACCATACAAGTGATATTTGGCATCAAACACTACATTTTGCTAGACTTGACCGCATGCTATATTTCTGTATTTAATTTGCAGTACCTATCTATATAGAGCTCAATGTCTCTTTGACATGTACGTGGTTTGATTACCTTTTTTATATTTGTTGTGGATGAATATTTCTTTGGCTGCTTCACAACATATACTACTTCCATTGCAGTTGGTCTGAAATTTAATTCCTTTTTTTTTTTTTAACTTCAGAAATCCCAACATACAAAGCTGTGTTGTATCTAATGATAGCTTTTGCTGTCATCCCAACGCTCACATTCAAGTATGTAATTTTCTATTCCCTAATTTTTTGAAATTTGAGTCTTAACTTTCTCATGTATAATAATTCTTTCTGTTTTTTCTTTTATAACTTATTCCTGAGCTCTTAATACATGTATCATGAATTTTTCAACTCAATTGTTATTTTTCTAATGGTTCTCTATATGGAACCTGTAAATTGTTATCCATACTACTTTTGGCATATCTGTGAAGACTCAAGCTACAGAAGCAGGGTTGCATTGCTAACCACACATTGTGGGCATGAACTCAGAACTATTATGTTGCTATCTTCATGATCTTACTAATCTAGAAATCCTTGGGGTATGGGATTGAATTAATATTACCATTTTCTATAGATATAGCAGCAATCTGGTGTTAATATTCACATGATTTTTTTATTTTTTTTTATTTTTTGTGAGTGCCTTGGTATAGTTTACCACTTCCCCAAACTATTCATGTGTCAGAGGCTCAGAGCTCACGTATAAACTTAAGAACAGTCCTTTGAAGGCCATTAGACACTTGGACCTTATGTTGGATTATGCTTGTGTGCAGTGTATCCAATGTTCATAAGGTTGTTCAAGCAAGGAAAGCAAGTATGATATTGGCACTGGCAATGGTATTGTTTTTATCTTTCGGATTTTATGCTAGTTCTAGACACTTGATTGGCCTAATGGGTGTTTCATGTTGTTTCTTCTCAGATTTACCCTTTTGTAGTCCTTTTGGTAGGAGTTTTGGCATGGTATGTCTTTATACTTTGCGTCCACCCCTGTTTTTTTTCCTTAAAATTATTGCTATTTTTTATTTCTTTTAAAACATGGTTTCAATGTAGTAATAATTTATTTGCAGGGGTTACTTGTCACCAGCTGACATTGTGGGGAACTATCCACATTTAGTCGTTTGGGAAGTGGGCTTGCTTTTGGGTACCTTGTGGTAAGATATCCGTGTTTCTTTATAACCGTATCTTTTGAAAGTGTGGTTTGTCCATCTCGAATGTAATTGCTTACTATCAGGGCTGTGACTGTGCTAGATTTCCAATGTCGTTCTAAGGGGTCTTGTAGACAACCAAATTGTTTTTTCAACCATTGTTGTTGAAAGGAAAGCTCTGTTTTGGCAGGGAAGATTGATTCTTGCGCACTTGTGTGATGAGCCAAAGGGTTTGAAAACTGGAATGTGCATGGTATGCAACAATCCCAAAACTGCTGGAAATTTACAGTCTGTTGAGTGTATTTCTTGAAACGCTGTAATAGCAGCATTATATTTCTCAGAATTGGTTAATATCAACAACTTCTGCATGGTTTTTTTTTTATAATTCAAGACCAGATTATATTACTAACTTCAATATTTATTATTCTGTGCAGTCATTGTTGTATCTTCCATTTGCCATTGCAAATGCACTCACAGCTAAACTGAACGATGGGTATGTTGTATTTGATATAATGTCGTGAGCTCTTTAAGTAAAAACGGGATTCTTCTGTTCTTGATAGTCTAGATGTTTCTGATTTCTTGAACTTCCTGTGTACCTTTTTGTTGCAGAGTTCCTTTGGTTGATGAGAGCTTGGTTCTTCTTGGTTACTGTGCATTTACAGGTATGGTAATTTGTTATGAAGGTCTGCGTATTGGAAATACATGACACACTACCATTTTTATGGATGTAGTATGTACATACGAATTTCATTACACAGTACCATACCTCGTGGCTGAATTTCACTTTTCTCTGAATGCAGCGACACTCTATCTTCACTTTGCAACGTCAGTCATTCACGAGATCACAACAGCCTTGGGAATCTATTGCTTTAGGTGAGAATGTGTGTTACATTCAAAATCGAAGCATATTACTCACCAAGTCCAAATAATTTTTTGACTAATACAGCCTGAAATTTGATTGAGCACGGTGTTCTGTGCTCATTCTTTCACCTAGACGACAGTTTGCTTCCGTTCACCAAATTTTGTTCCTTTTCTTTGGAGTGCCAATTGATACCGTACTTTTGATCCTAACTTGCGGTTTCTTGTCGAATTACAGGATAACTAGGAAGGAAGCTTGAGTTATGCCGGTGTCAACTTTAGGGTACCTTTTATTCTCGGTACATGTATTGTTTCGATAAATACAACATTAGAAATATTGACATTGCATCCATTTTCTCCTTTCTCTACATCTTTTCCAATTTTTGTTCCGGCCCTGCGGGCTAAGTCGAGAATGATGCAGCTCGAGCGAGGTTTTTCGTCAGTATAATTTTGTTCTCAGATGAGTGAAGAGAGTGATTAAAATCCATTTCAATTCGTTCTTGCTGTTGTATAAGATTATGTTTTGTTTCTTTCCGAATAGAGTTACGGATTTGGGCATATTTTATCTTCCCTTTGATCCATAAGATTTGGTAATTAGGGACCTCATGTTCTCAATCTTCATTATTAAGTAGGCCTCATGTCTGACCCTTATGAACGAGAAATTCGATACCTAAACCCTAGTCCTAATTTCAATTGGTCTATTGTGTGGCTTAGCTTAAGTCCTCGTCCCAATATCGTCGTTTTAAAAAACAAAAACAAAAAAAAACTTCATTTTCAATATCTTTATGCCTATATTGTAATCTTCAACGGCCTCAACCACAGCTGTCACATTTATTGTTGTAAACTGAAGGCATTCCATCATCAAAGGAGCAATCGCAACTGGCTCCTATAGGCTACAGCACACCACATGCTTTCCCCATGTGCTTCCAGTCGTTAAACCGTTTTTCTTGTTGCTGGACGTAACAGCCAAGATTCATTAGTTGGCAACTCTAAACAACGTGATTACTTATAATCTAATCTAGTATCCATCTAACAACTAACAACTAACCAGAGGCGGTGCTGAGGGGGAGCGAAAGGTGCAATTGCTCAGGGTCTCCAAATTTGAAGGGCCCCCAATTTTGGTATCTTAAATTTATATGTAATAATGTTATATATTAGAAAAAATATTGTTATTAGCACTTTAAAATCTTATAGTGCATTTTTATAAGTGTAAATTTTTTTGTTCTTCTAAATATAAAAATTTGGAGTGCATAATGAGATAGTAGGAGTGCTAATAACAACACCTTAAAAAACGACTTTCTTTTCAATTTTATTAATTATATAACAATGTTATATATTCAAGTGAAATTCTAAAGTTAGAGTTTTTGAAGCTTTTTTTCTTTCTTTATTTGCTTGCTTAAGATTGAACTGTTTTTTATTATTTCGTGAAAGTTATGTTTGTAACTCTTTTTACTTATTTAATGACATTTGTAAACTTACAATTAATGAGTCGTAAAGGTTGTTTGGATTTAAGTTATTATTTTCTAGTACTAATATATTGTCATACTTTTAAAATATATATCTTAAAAAGGGGCCTTTTTATAAATTTCGCACAGGGCTCCCGAAATCTCAAAGACGGCCCTGCAACTAACAACCAACCACTGGCCTCGGTTTTTCCTTATCCATTTTTTTCTTCAACTTTACGTTTCAGATTTAAAATGCAACTCATCATTTTCCTCTTTCTTTGACAAAACGATATCCTAAACTTCTCTGGTTTACATAACCGCAACGGCGATTCGTGCCACTTTGTCCCAAAACCTTAACCTCGACCAGAGTAACCTATCGTTTAAAGAGTCTCGACAAATGGGGAACAAAGAGATGGGGAAGAAACCAAATAAATAACAGATTTCGGGAAGGGGAAAAACAAAGCGAGTCACAACATGTAACGGGCAAAACGACTGTTAGACGAATAATGCCGTCGTACTCATACAGCATGGAGTAAAACTATCTGCTATATTAAGTGAAATTTAAGCAGTAAAACAAGAGAAAAATGGTGTAGGACAAGCACAATTGCTCTCACAAAGTCAACACTTCACAATTCAAATCTAAATTCAGAGTTTAATACACGGTGCAGCCGCTGCATTCAAATTATCGTTCAGTCGTCAACCGGAAGTGAACAGTCCAGGTCGATTCTTCCTCCATGACTCACCGTAGATGCCTGGCACGACACTATTAAAAAAAAAAACAAATTAAACCCACATACATTACGGTATTCCAATTCAACTAATGACAGTCCGTAAACATCTGGCAGATCATCTGTAAGAACACTATTAACTTGTATAGAAATAATCTGTCTAAAAATACTAGTGAAAACCTCAGAACTTTTTCAGTTTAAATTGCCACATTTCCTGGACAGTACGTAGAGGCCACAAAAACCTATCGAAATTATGTGAACGAAGGAGATATAAACCCTTCAAAATGTTCAGGTGTTTTGTTTATGGTGCTTTGAATTCAGAAACTAATTCGAGCATTTGTTAGACAGCCCGTTATGAACAGAGAGAAATTCTTCTATGCCAAAATAGATGAGTAAACTAGAGTGAAGGTATACGAACAAAACTCAACATCTATACTAGTATTAAGAAGTTGAAAGCCACAAAGGAGGCTAAACCATGAGATGTAAACTGATTCCTTTTTAAATGGCATCCCAATCCCACATTACATACTGGCTCGTGATACTATCACATCCAAAAACATCATAGCAAAGTACATATAGTGAAGTCTAATATAACATAATGATAAGATTTTATCACCTAATGATATCGGACAAGAGAAGGATGTTAGAATGTTACCTCTTGCCAAACTCCATTAAATATCGCGACACATTGAAAAACACGAACCACAGCAACACAATGACCAAAGTATCTGTCAAGATTAAGGAACTGAAAAATGCAATATAACAGCAGAGAGGAAGCTGGAGAACCCTAAACTAAATCTGACAAAAAATGATGGGATAATTAGTAAAAATCCTGAATCCTCATCAGTATTACTTCCTCAAAATGCATTTTTCCGGCTATTCATCAAGAACTATAGCATTGCACCATATGGCAGATGCTGATGACCAAAAACACAATTTTTTAGGATACTTATATATGACAGTATGGTAGAAAAAAGTAAAACAAGCTCAGAAATATGGTCAGTTCTTACTTCTCAGTACACGTTGATATGAGAAACTGCCAAAGAAGAGGCACCTTTCCAAATCATAACAGCAAGAAGAAATTTCTTACAAGCTCAAGAAAAATGCCAAGGGCCATTTGATAACTAGTTCGTTCTTAGTTTTTAGTTTTCACTTTTTGTGCTTGAGATATGAGGGAAGTATACAAAAAATGGAGGGAAGAAGAAGGTGATGACAGAGAGGTGAAGAAATAAAGAAGAAGGAATAAAACATAGTCTTGAAAGTGAACACAACTTGAAATGATTTTGGTTTTTAGTTTTGATTTTGTGTGTCTTTCCTTTTATTACATCTCTCATTTCTCCCATGTATTTCCCTCTATCTCTACACAAAATGAAAATTACAAACGAATGTTATCAAACGTTCTTAATTGTACACTCTAGACTCACATGTTAAAGGAAATAAGTTTAATCATAAAAGTATGTAAACCTATGTGATCTCTAAACTAAAACAAGACAAATATCAAGATGAATGAAGAAGAAAAAAAGATGTAAAACGTAGGATACTGAAGAGACAACGCTCCCACCAATCCAACATATAGAGCCCAAATGTGACATTGTAGAGATAGATCTTTCGTTGAACCCAATTCATAACTCCACAATCTACAAACAATAAGTTAAAAATACATAAACAATGTAGAAGAAAATATATATAAGTACATCAATACAAGAAAAATATCAATTCACAGAAATTCCAGTAATATAAAATCTAGTCGGATGAAGTTGACGGAATAGCTTATAGCTTGGCTACACACACGCGCATGCACGAGTACATGTAAATGTATCAAAGATCCAACCCTGAATGACTGCCAAATCCATCTTCAAACATGCTAGAATGAAAGTAAAATTTTACGCTCGAACTATATAGATATGTTAGCAATTAATGGCAAGATCACTATATCAGCGGTAACATCAACCGGATTGCTTGCTTGCAATATACATACACACACACACACACACACACATATATATATATATATATAATACCATCATTTTATGAAAACCCAGACATAAACTAAGACTTGCTTCTGCTCAACTGTTGGCTAATAATCCAATCACAAATTGAAACATAAAAACTTCGAAACAAATCCCCAAATCACCCAATCAACTAAAATGTAAACTTTATCACAACTAGCCACAAAACTCACTGATCAAGTAATAATTAACATAAAATAAATAAACTAAATAAAAGAAAAAAGCACATGAATTTGAGTACCAAATTATCAATCAAAGAAAATAAAGGATTTACAGGAAGAAAATGAACCAACTGACCACCAAAAATGGTGGTTTCCAAAGGCCATCAATAGACCAGAAAACAATCAACACCCATTTTACAAAAACTAGTATAAATCACAAAAACAGAGATAATTAGCTCACCCACTCAATTGGATCGTATCAAATTCCAAAATAAAATCGCAAAAAATAATTAAGCAATACAAGAATAATATGAAAATACCTGACTTTTCCTCCGCGAGAGAGAGAGCGAGAGAATTTAAAAGGCTGTGTTGCGTTCTGTTATTTTCTTTCTTCGGATAGAGAGGAGAACCGCGTCTTTTAACTAGAAGGGCATTTTGGGGATTATCATTGTTGCTACCAACTTTGGTTCTCGTTTTCTTGCAGCTTCTTTCTCATTTTTTTTTTTTTGGAAAAATGTTTTTGTTCTCTTTAAACTACGTGAATATCTTATATTAATTTTTTATAAAAAGGAAAAAATAAAATAGAAAATGTGAGAAGAGGGGGGTGAAAGGGGATAAAAATAGGAGATGAGAGAATCTTAGTCCAAATTTTAATCTTCTTGACTCTACTTTTAACCTTGCACTCTAGAAATAAATAAATAAATTATTTAATTGTTCAATTAACGTTGTCAAAATTTTAGTGTTTAGACTCAATTGTGCTCGGTTTTACCAGTTAGATGACTAAATTCATTAATTGACTAAATGATATTGCATAACAGTTAGACTCTAACTGAATAACATGGTTCATCTATTTATATTGGATAACAGTTAGATGACTAAATAATTTCAGAATTTATTGATTGTTAACCCAGATCCTCTCCGGATCCCCAAAAACTGAGTCTAAGGATCAAATGATCCAGGCCGTTGATCTAACAGCTATGAATAGGGGGGCTTCTAAAAGTTATAATAATTGTAACCGTTAAATCAAATTTCAACGGGCCGGATTATTTGATTTTTAGGCTCAATTTTTTTGGAATCCGAAGAGGATCTGGGCTCGCTAAGTTGACCTTTAAGAATGACTTGGAATCTAAACGGTTAGAATTAGTTGAAGAAATGTTATGAGAAATTCTTTCTTTATCTATTAATACCATAGTCTAGTGACGTTTCACTTCGCTTGTAAGTGAAATACTTCTTTGTCGAATTCCATAAATGAGAAATCCTATAACTAATTATGACTTATCTGTCATTTAGCTTAACCCAAATCCTAGCACTTAGTATCGTTGTTTTAAAATACCATGAAAAAAATAAATAAAAATAAAAAACCTCATTATCTTTATGCTTATTGTAACCTCCAATTGCCTCAACTACAGCTATCATATTAATTTAATATTGTAAAATGAGGCAACCTTCCTTCCTCCTCAAACAAATTGCAACACATTGCAACACATGCTTTCTCCATGTGCTTCCACTCGTTTAATCGTTGTAAAATGAGTTTTTCTTCATCACTAGTTAGTAGTCTCATAATTTTGAATTTCGTTAATGGCAAGTTCGAATCAATTTATCTCCGTACTTTTTAGTGTACATAATTTATTGTACTCCAAATAAACAACCCCCAACTATAACCTTCAGATTTTCCTTCTTAATTTTTAAATTCCATCGTTTTTCGTTTAACTTTGTGTTTTCATTTTAAAATGCAACCTAATCCTTTTTTCTTTCTTTTCTTTTGACAACGATATTCTAAACTGCTCTAATTTTATGAAAAAACATTTCAAGCTCGAGTGAAAGGATGCAAGGCAAACATTAAACAGTACAAAACTCCAAGGACCCAGCGCCCCAAACACAAATGCAAGACCCTAACCCCCGGGACCCAAATCCGTAACCCTAATTCCTGGCACCCAATACTATTAACCATAGTCATTAGTGATGACATGGTTACTTAGTAATGAAGAATATAGTTAGTTGAAATGTGTTGGTAGGTTGTCACAAGGATAAGATTAGTTAGTATAGTTAGAAGGGTATTATTGTAATTAGGTTATATGGCTATATAAGGGATTGTATAGCTATCATTTCCTTAAGGTCATTTGCATACATTTTCTCTAATCAATCAATACAATCTCTTTTGTTCATCTCTATCAATTCTTTCCCTCCTCTGTACCAATTCTCCATCTTTAGCAATGTAGTTAACATGGTATCAGAGCCACCAGGCTCATGCCATGGATTCTGGTGGTTCCACTTCTCATTAGTCTATTTCTAGTTTTACTTCTTTTCTCATTAGTTTCTTCAGATTTTCTTGAATTTTCCGTCAAGCCCTTCGGTGCTTCCGCTCTCCAACAGATGAGAAATACGACTGTAATCGACAAGAAGGTCCTGAACGAGTGCCTCAATGAGATCACTTGACGATGGGTTCTTCATCATTTTCGGAATCAACGACGGGTTCTTCGACACCGACTCGGATTCCCATTCCAGATCCATTTTGTGGGTCTTCATCCCCACCGCCCTCCGCCAACGGCACAGCCACATATGGGTTTCCTGGGTTTTCAAGATTCAAGTTCTCAGGTTTTGTTTTCGATTACTGGTTTTCTTTCCAGCATATCAACTGTTTGTGATAATGTCTCGGTGAGAATTTTCTGGGTTTCGTGTTCATTGGTTTTCTGCGATTGTTCTGGTTGCGTATTCTTGTTGGGTTGATCGTTCTTGGGAAAGTCGTGTAGCCGCCTTGTTGACGACAGCCTTGCCGTCGAGTCACTCGGTCTTGGCGGAAGACGACGATGCATGAGACTCTGTGTGACTGAGAGCAGAGTTTGCTTTCTTTGCACTGTTGATTATCTACTTCTTCATTCATCTTAGTGGTGTTTTCAGAGCAGTTTTCTGAATTCGATTTTCTGTGATTTTGATTCGTGCTCTGTTTTCTGGTATGGCAGAACGTTTAGACTATGTGCAGCCTAAGTGTTTGACGAATTGCCCATATTTTCTTCATCTGGGTTCTTTTCTCGAATTTGATTTGGGATTTTGGTTATGTGTTCTTCTGAATTGGTAAATGCATTCTGGTATATGGGTTGTGCGATAGATCATCGAAGTGTTGATAGCAGTCATTTGGAATTGTTTGGTGATCTGCAACGCTTATTTCTTGAAGCTGTGGTCTTTGATGTACTTTCGATGTTTAATTAAAGTGAAGCTGTGGTCTTGATGTGTTGATCTCTGCAAGTATTAGTTTTCTTGTCGATTTAAAGAAGAAAGTGTAATTCTTTCTATGAATCTTGGAGTTTCATTCTCCTAAGTTGCAGTATGATTTGGAGTTTCATTCTCCTCAGTTGCAGTATGATTTGTGTTCATGGAGTGTCAGTCTCCTTATTTGGTATTTTTTAGTAGAAGTTTGAGATTTGTGTTGTGCTTTGGAGTGTCATTCTCTTTGGCTGATTAGGTTTCTTGGAGTGTCATTCTCCTTGGTAGATTTAGTTTCTTGGAGTATCATTCTCCATGGTAGTTTAGTTTCTTGGGAGTGTCATTCTCCTTGGTAGATTTAGTTTCTTGGCAGTGTCAACTATGGCTTCTCAGTTCACAGTCAAAAAAATTTGTTAGGTATGTTCAGACCAAGACCACGAAGCACAGCTCTTTCTCCCGCAACCATCATGTACTTTGGAACATCCTGTGTCATCACAGAACCACCACCAATAAATGAGAAATAGCCAACATGGCAGAATTGATGAACGACAACAGCCCCTGCATACATCTTGGTCTTGCAGTTCCAGATCAGTTTCAGCGTTCTAGCTCGTTCAACCTTCACTTGGCTACACCAAGTTCAGTTTGAGGGGGGAGTATTAACCATAGTCATTAGTGATGACATGGTTACTTAGTAATGAAGAATATAGTTAGTTGAAATGTGTTGGTAGGTTGTCATAAGGATAAGATTGGTTAGTATAGTTAGAAGAGTATTATTGTAATTAGGTTATATGGCTATATATAAGGGATTGTATAGCTATCATTTCCTTAAGGTCATTTGTATACATTTTCTCTAATCAATCAATACAATCTCTTTTGTTCATCTCTATCAATTCTTTCCCTCCTTTGTACCAATTCTCCATCTTTAGCAATGTAGTTAACAAATACCAGAACTCAAGATGGAGACTACCGGGACTCAAATCTGGCATGGGACTCCGACTCCCGGAGCTGAGATACTAGCGGCCAATATTCCGACGACGGGGACACCAAATAGTCATTTACTCATCTATTACATTCTTGTTATTTTGAATGTAATGAACAGTGGTTTGAAAGAACAAATTTACAAAATGAACAGAAAATGTCTTTGCCAACAACATTTTTCTTACAATTCTGATTTCTTTCTGTTCAATCAAATACCTTTTCTTTTCTTTTCTTTTATATATGTTCTTCCACTCAACAAAACTTAACAGAAAAATTACACATAGCCACAGGCAATACACTACGCATCGAATGATATAAAGAACGAAAAGAATGAATGCAAAACTTGAGTGCACACATCACACCATAAAGAGTGAATCACAAAGCGATTCATCCAAATCCTTACCAAACCTGCATCCTTTTCAATTTAACCCCGTCCTCAAACTGATCACCAGCGCAACATGGTTGTTGAGTGTGTTCATGAAAGAATGTGCATCGAGGTTTGTTTCTCCCACCTGAAACCTTTGGCTTACGCAGCAATTGGATCCTGCATTTGAGGAGAGAGACGCGATTACAATTTACAAATTTACAACAGAACATTACCAAGCATAAATTTACTTCATTTCTGGTTCGGATTATATACAGTTACCCTAAATAGTAGGAGATTTGGTTGGAGACACAATTATTCCTCTTGCATTGAATAATTAGTTGAAGATTTAATTGCTTAATCATTTATTTTTCAAAGGGGTAATGCCCTGGAGTTTCTAGCACATTTGAGCAAGGCATTACAACAGCTACAGAGGGTAAGTCATTTCTTAAATTCAACCTAAAGAAAGATGGATACGGCTTTGTGGCCCTTTAAGGTTGGAAAAATTATGCGTATTATGTTTTAAATTAGAAAAAAACTGTGACTAAAGTACAAAATTACAAGTTCTCAGAACTCAACGTAAATTTTTACCAAAACAGAAAAGCAATAATGTAAATAATAATGATAGATAAGTAAACATACCTTTGCCGTCAAGTTTGAGACAGCCATATGGAACTTTTCTCTGGTTTTTGTACCTGCAACCTGTCCCGCCTTTGCCACCTTACCAAAAGCACCATTTAGCCACGCTGCTCCAGCAGTCACATACCTGTCAGCACCACATAAGAGTTTGTCAACTAACATTCTCTTCTATTCTCATCTATCAATAGAGATGATTATGCTGTCATTTACACTATCAATTCTTTATTTGAGCTGCTATTGGCACTCCAAAACAGTCTTCCCGCATTCCTTCCTAGTGAAATAATAATA